AAGGCATGAATCCGGGTTTCTGATTGACTGAGAGATTTTTATTTTATTGGTAACGAAAATATATTCTAAATAAACGAAGTTTCAAATAAAAACGAACACAAAAATCTCGGCATGCTGCGTTTCTGAATTGTTGATTATTACTGTACTCAGTAGTGATTATAATAATGTACACAAAATAAATTTGTTGAATGGTTATGAAATACAAATAAAAGTCAACTTAGTTTCATCGTAAGCGAATGATTCTGGTCTCGTATAAACGTTTGATGCTGTAGGATATCCGCCATGTTCTCTTAGGTCAAATCGCTAATTAACCAATCAAAAAGCTGGATGATGCCAACGTGTTCAAATTACCATAGCTTATTTAAATATGTTAATGTTATTGAACGCAATGCGGAAGAGATTGATGTTGTAGTACGATATTTTGGCTTGGATTTTGATGCGAAAACGGCACGATTTTTTTTAAATAAAAAAATTAGTTGTTTTTAAAAAATAAACTGGTCATCTGAAGAATAATTTAACATTGTTCACAGTGATAACAGCTCATTCTCGAAAGGAAGCTTACCCGCTCACGCTAGTCACGATAAAAATCATACACGTGTACTCTTGAATAGACAGACGTCAATGACTACGGTAAAACTTAGACTCTATTTTAGCCGGCAGGATTGATTGAAATGTCCGAAAAATGACGCCAAAATACACCTTAAAAGTCCCATTTTATTTTCTTAAATCCCATTTTATTTTTTAATCCAAGGGCGAATTTACGGCAGAATTTGGTCCCTCAAATAAGGGACACGTGAGCTTTGATTCTAACCGGATACATTGCACTGGGTCGGGGAGATCGTTTGCTAAACTTCCATGTATCTTTTGTCCAATGGGTACCTGTACTTCGAACATTCGCAAGTTTTTCTAGGTAGTGCGAGACAGCTTTGTCTTTTGACCTATTAGTTTTGTGCTGACCTCTTCTCCGCGTCTTGATGTTTTGTTTTGCTTGTCATAATACTCACTGATTGATGACTTTGTTTAGATTTTGAGTTACAACTCGGCCACGACCTTTGCTTTTACCGTGAAACATGAGGAAGTTTACGTCAATTGACGGACATTGCATTTTTTAAAAACTAATGAAGCACACTGTCTATCATCCCCATTTTTTCATTTGCTGATTTCTATTCTGAAAAATTCGACCGTCCGAAAATGCACCTTAATTTTGACTCTAAAAACACGTCACATATCTAACACCAATTATTTAAAACCGGTCGAAATTTTGGAGTTTTTACGGTGCTTTAGATATCAGTGTGAAAGCTTAAAATTGGTTAATTATGCAAATTAGGTAATTAATATGTACAGATTTTAACCCGCAATTATTCAGGTCTGTCTATTGTCCTACAGCATCCATGTACATTCATTGATATGTGA